AACGACCTTCAATAAAAGTCAATTTTATAGTTCATATATGAAAGTACGAAGCTATCAGAACTACGAAGGTTTAATATGCTTTACTGTTCACAAACACATAGCTTTATAGTGTTTCTAGTAAACACTTTTTTAAATATTAATGTAATTTTAATGCATTCTATTCGTCGGCTAGACGATCCTTACGACTTACGTGACAAGACTTCTTAAGTTGGCGGTTAATATTTCCTTTGGCTTGAATTATTATTATGAAGACAAAACTACTTTAATGCTATAAAATTTACAGAAACTTTTCGAATAGTATCAATTGTTATTTTAATAATTTTGATAATTTTTACAAAAACAAAAATATTTTCGTATTTCTAAAGGAACATCAAGACAAATGACAGATGAACTATGGCCAGGCTTTCATCTAATTACGTCACAAAAAGGTTAAGGTTATATAAGATATTTTTTTCATATCACATACCAATAAGTCAAAGGACATTTGGGATAGTTATTTTATGAATATATAATCGATTATTTTTAATCGCCACCAGTCAGTCATCGAGTTATTGAACCCTGTATAAATATAGTAGTACATATGAAAATGAATGAAAATAGTAACAATATCTCATTCAAAATAATATTCATGGCGTTTCAAATCAAAATTATTAACGTATTGATTTTCAAAGGCCACAACGTTGTAGCATTTACGTAACCATAAGAGCCTTAAAAAAATAAACTGATTGTACATTACATACGATTCTGGTGGGACAGGAATAGCTCATGGGTTACCCAGTGTTATAGATCATGTGTTTGCTATAATTTATTTATGGTGTTTACGAAGTTGCAGCATCGCGAATGTCACTCACGGGGTAATCAAAACGGCGAATGTGAAACACTTTAGGATATTAGTTAATGATGGTTTATGTTTAATTAATTATAGGTTAGATGGGTTATTGATCGCGGGCGCGGTAGTATTCACGCCGTGCGCGCGGGCGGCTTGCTCTGCCGCGACTGTAGGGCGGGCGGCTGCCCTACAGAAGGGTCCGGTTTGCGGCTGCGCGCACCGTGTTTTGTTTTGCCGTAAGATCGCTCTGAAGAGCTCTCGATGCCGGCTGAATACGTCCACGTGAAAGATTCCAATATTTGAATTGTAGTATTTTGTTTTTTATTCATAATTAACTTAGTCTTTACTTGGATAGTTTGCAAAAAGGCAAAGGTTCGTGTCGTACAGCCAGGAAGTTTTTAAATATGCTTAAATTCTAGTTGTGTTGCTCGTTTAATTTTAGAATTTTGACATTTTACGTCAAACAACAGTCTTTGCTTGATTTAATGTGAGTTTTGTCGCACTCGTAAAATCAATATTTATGGTAGCGAAATATTTTAAACTTTGTTACCTTTCGAAGTACAATCTATCAAAAATATCATTGCACATGTAAATATTTACAATTAAATATAAATCTAGTATTAGTTTATAAATAAAATCAATGATTGCTGTAATTAGAATATTAATATAGTAATAGCTACTATACTTGGCACCAAGTTGTTAATACCTCGTTTACATTATGCCAGTACAATAGAACTGTAGCGCTTGCCTGTCGTGGACTTTTTTGACTCGCTGGCGTCAAATGTTTACATTGTGCCAGTTCTGTGCTAATGCTGGTTTTGAGCTACTGTCCTACGGTACAGTCAGCTGTTTAAATATGTATACATGTTTACACTTAAGCTAACTTATATACACCTTTGGTTTTAAAAATATTTATGAGCGTATTTGTCTGTATGATTTCAACCATGAATAAAAAGTACTAAAGAACACGCACAGACGTTTTTTTAACCAATGTTACCATATTTATGTAGCTGACTGTACTGGCAAAATGTAAAGGTATAACTGTTATACATATTTACTTGATATTAGTCGTAGTATTACCTTGTCAGATTTTATAACGCCCACACAGCCCAAGATACTAATGTTTGTACATATCCCACGCATTATATTTTTAGACATAATAACTGTCTACAAATAGAAAAGGAATTAACTACGCCGTATACATGAAAATTATTTTGCAAACGTCAATAGCGTTATTCTTAAGGCAGTCTTAAGTTAATGAAATCGTGGGTTACATCAACAATTTTTTTTTTAATATGCTGACGTTACACAGATAGAAATATAACTATGATATTATATATTAGTTTAGTTGTATTTTCTCTCTTTATTAAAGACTTGCTATCGCGCGACACTAAACTAAATTAGTAGCATATGTGTTCTTCCAGACTATGTTCTACATTGCCAAATTTCAGCGAGATCTATACAGCTGTTCTGAAGGTATCGTCAAACAAATATCCGTCCATCCAAACATTCGCATTTATAGTATTAGTAAGAAGTAAGATTGACAACACAACATATTTGCAACCTATAGAATATATTTGTTTGTTAGTTTACTTTGTTGCACATATTCTACGGATCAATTCCTTAAAATAAAATATTTTAATAGTTTATTTAAAGTTTATCTCAAACAAAAACAACGGTAACACATTTTTTTTTTATATCAAAAGCTGGCAAATGAGCGAGCGGCCACCTGAAATCGCTGAAATAGCGAGGAGACCGATACTCATAGACATACGCAATTGCATATGCGTTGCCTGCCTTAAATCGACGGAGGAGAGGATGCACAGAAAGAAAATATCTTCCCTTTCCATGCATCCTCTCATTCGGAAGGTCCATTTCCACTTCCCATCGCCTCCTTATAAAGAAAAGGATGGGAAGGGAAAGAGGACTAAATTAGGCCACCGGGACGCACACTCATTAGACGAAACGCGGAATTGCTTCCACTTCACGACTGTCTTCTGTGTGGTCGTGGTATTTCACCGGGCGAGCCGGGCCAATTCGTGCGAAGATGTTAAAGCGGGCTCTACCACTGTTAAGGTCACCACATCTGCGGTTCCATTGGTATTGCTTATGTCCATGGGCGTCGTTGAACACCTCGGTGCTCCCACTGCACGTTTTCCCCCTTATGTTATAAAAAAAAAATTAACACATCATAATATTTTACCGATATTTACACAGATATAGGTTTTTTAATTCAGGTCGCCATAGTTATGTCGTCATACTTTGTTATTCTCAGTTTTCTTTGTCTTGTCGTGTTTGAACAAATGTTTTGAGATAGCAAATTTACAATAGAAAACATACCAATGTTTACTGGCGTCTGCAATTGTTCTTGAATAAACGAATCTATTGAATTTACTTATATTTCATGGCCAAGAAATATAATTTAAAAGTTATTTGAATTCCGGATCATTTCATACTTTTTAAATCTTTAGTTTGCTGAAGCAGTTTCACTTTTCATTTATGTAATTAAATATAAACTTAAGTTGAAGTGAACTTTCAGTATACTTCTTACTAATATAATACATGCGAATATTTGGATGTATGGATGTTTGTTTGAAGGTATCTCGAAAACGGCTTTATGGATTTCGCTGAAATTTGGCATATATTTAAAACATAGTCTGGAAGTACACATGGACTACTAATTAAGTTTTTTTTTAAATACTGCACAGACGGTGTCGCTGCCGATAGCTAGTAAGTCATAAAAGCTTAGTCTAGAAATAGAAATGCACACCGCAACAAGATGTATTATGGTAGAAATGGGTCAGTACATAAATCGCATCTGAGCGGTATCGTGTTCCCTCCGCCACAAATCCGATTATAATGCTCGATGAAGGCCTACGTAAAATACACGTTGAGTTGCAGAAATATTTCAATTTTAATATTTATACGTACAATCTGTGAAGCTGGTGGTGTTCCACATGAAAAGATACAGTCGTTTTGTACTCATTGAGACGACGCAAAGTCGAGAGTTAAGTGTACGAAAAAATGGTACACGAATGTTCTTTGTTATAATCGTGTCGTTTTCGAAACTGAATGCTACTTATTTAGTTATTTGTAAAAGGCGAAGTTTGTCTCGTTGCAAGGAACAATGCAATTTTCCTGGAACACCGTGAATTTCCGCGACTGTACAAACAAAAAATAATTTTAAAATCCAATTACATCAATATATATATAATTCAGGCTTTCCCAAAAGTAGAAAATGATTGTTGTTTTCCCAGTTCATACAAAAAATATCATTGGTACTACCTACTTACGTACATATGTACAAGCCTGTCACGTTATGAACACAAATAAAGTTAATATAAAAGAGAAAAACGTACCCACTCTTTCTCACTCTCTGAAAACGCGAATATTCAAGTTTATTTAATTAATCAATTACCTAATTAATATTCATTTGTTTCTTCCTCCATAAACATCGTCACGTGTATAATTTCCTGCGAAATGTTCGACCACGTGACTTGTCAGCCGAAGTAATACGGCGGTCGCCACGTGTTGGAAATAATCCAGCAATATTCACTTCGTAAAATACGTAACCAAACTATATTTAGTACAATAATTTAACAATTAAGTCACGGAATATTATTACATATGCATAGTATTTATTCTCTATGATTACGTTGTAAGCAGAGTATAGTTGCCAAATGTAACTACGTAAGATTTATGACGATTCTTATTTATCAATCAAATATCTCGCGTTTATCTTTAAGTGCCCCACCAAAATGATCCTTAAAAGCAATAAAATCCGACAAAACATGTAACATCTTACTAATATTATAAATGCGAATATTTTGATGTACGGATGGATGTTTGTCAGAAAGTATCTACAAAACTGCAGCATGGATCTCGCTGAAATTTGCCATAGATGTAGAACATAGTCTGGAAGGACACATAGGTTACTTACTAAGATTTTTCAGATTTTACACGAACAGAGTCGCGGGCGACAGCTAGTATATCCATATCAATGAGTATACTTGAGGAAGTCATGAGTAATTACGACGATCATAACAATTACATCACTCACTAACACTCAAGTCAGAAACGACTAATTAAATTAAATGTTAGTTATGAAACATTATCAATGCTAGAGATAATTTAACTCCTCATAACATTTACAGTTTGCGACATACTAGTCTACTAGTCTGCTAGTCAAGTGGAATATTTGACTACCGTATATCATGCCTTCAGGAGTTATTTTTATAGTCTGCATACCTTCCAGCAATTACGAACACATTATAAAGTTTGGTAAACCGAAAGATATTGTTTCAATAGATGATTCTTCATACAAACAATGTCGACTACAAGTTGAGTTAAGGAATAAGAAATGTCGAAGTATACCAATACATTTGACTCAAAATTATTATAATGAAGGATTTGGTTCATCATTAGAATATATAACAGAGGATGATGAAAACATAACAATGGAAAGCGTAAGTAAATAACCTTAGTTTTCTTATTAGCAAAATAAATAGATTAGTAAATTATATTCATAAAAAAATAAACTTGACACCGTTTACTAAAAATACTACACTGTTAAATGATTATATTAAAACTAGCTGTTGCCTGCAACTCCATCTGCGCGGGATTATAAAATAGATAGTAGCCGGTTCCCAGACATACAGAATATGCTCACAAAATTTCATGAAAATCGGTCAAGCCGTTTCGGAGGAGTATGGGAACGAAAATTGTGACACGAGAATTTTATATTTAAGATTTATAGTTTTTCTTTGGTGTAAAATGCGTCCACTGTTAGATATCTCAAAATCATATCTTTTATTTAGTGTTTAGAACTTGGCCTATGCTGCCAATCTCTGTCAAGTTGTAATCATATAAAAACTACAGAATTCCTAATAAATTATTACTATACAGATTCTCCAAGAACTTCTAAAAAATATGCGTGTCGAACATGCAGTGTGGATAAGTGACAAGATGGAGAATTACTTTCAAGTTACATTCCCTTTGCCGACTGGAGATGCGTGCGAGACAATGTTGCATTGTCTCACTAAACTAGGTATTGGAGTGAGATGCAAGTCAATCGTCAAGTAAGTAGAAATTTGGTGAAATGTGATAACAAAATAAACTAATTGTAATACAGTAAGTCTGCCAAACAGAGAGCTGTCAGAAATCTACGAAAAAAGGTTCTATTCGCGGTTGTTCAACTCTTGAGTGTGGCTAGTTAATAAACTTTTTTATTCGTGTCAATTTTCAGCCAGTTTGTAAAATTTTTTTAATTCCTTTTATTGTTATATCCTAGTGTACTGCCATGCAATGTAGTGCATTCTGCAGTTAATGAAGAAGACCAAGATAATGAGGCTCTATTGTAAGTATAATTTTAAAGGATCTTTAATCATTTTACTTTCTATAAAACATGTGAATCTCAAGTTTTATTCTTATAAATAGCGTTGTTAAGATTAATTTGCAAGCTTACATTCAAACGAATCAATCATGATATTAAAGCGAAGTTTAAAAACTAACAGACGTAAAAATGAAGAGGCGAAGCGATGGCGCAACTTCGTGGAGTCGATTCGGTCAAAATTAACGGTGAAACAAGTTGTAGATGGAGTGCGCGGGGGAGGAGAGCTGTCTTTCGATTACCTTACATTAATTGTAACAGCTGAGTAAGTATCGAGAAACCTTGAATCTTATACAATTGAGTGCGCGTATGTTATCAGTGGACTTGATTAAAATAATTTTGCTTTATTATTTCTATTCAGCTCGTACATATTCAGAGGATTCATTTTAGTTTCTGAGAACACAATCTCTATATGCAACATTATCATCCCTATCTAATGATGATGTCAAAGATTTGACAAAACAAAGAAAAAAATATGTTTTAAGATTTTAGTTTCAGAAACCCACGGTAACTGATTAGGGATACGATAAAAATGAAAATGCGTTTTAATAATACGTAGATTGTACATAAGTTGATAGTATTAACATATAAATTATAGGAATAGAAGTTTTCACTCAGACGAATTCCAAGAGATTCGTAAACGTGTTTTTTCCTCATAATAGTGAGTTTATCGATCAGTGGAAAAATCCGTATGTTAACAAGTTTAGTAAGTCTACCCTTAAGCGTGGTATAAACTTAATTGCGCGTCTTGACGAGCTTAGAGTCGCCTTGACCTCGAGGCGTCTCTTCTAAAAATAAGTAACTATTCTTTGTTTAATTTTCACCCACTGCTAGAGAATAAAGATCGTGTTCACTAAATGAATACTAAACGATGTTTAGCTTTAAGTATGCCTTTTACTTTTTATTTCATGTTTTAGGGATTTAGTCAACAATAAAGGGATTTATAAATAATTATTTCGTTCGTCAACGAACATCAAAACTATGTAAATTACAAGCTATCGCCCGCGACTCAGATCGCGTGGAATTAAAAAAAACTTAATAAGTAGCCTATGTGTTCTTCCAGACTATGTTCTACGTCTGTACCAACTTTCATTGAGATCTGTTGAGCCGATCCAGCGATACCTTCAAACATCCATCCATCCATCTAAACATTCGTATTTATAACATTAATAAGATTGTTTCAAGAGACTGAAATACTAATTCCATATTAAAAAAACATAACTTAAAACACATTTTCACTGTATTTTCTCCAGTTCTCTTGCAGCGCTCGGTCTGGTGGAAAACAATGCTTCTAACATAGTGGCAGCGATGTTGGTATCACCTCTCATGGGTCCTGTTATGTCCATCACCTTTGGCACCATCATTGCTGACCGGAGTCTCGTGAGAAGCGGCTTCGAGAGTTTAGTACTCGGAATGCTCGTGTCTTTACTGTTCGGATTTATATTCGGACTAATTCTTGGGACAACTGCAATGCCCTGGGGATTCGGAGACTGGCCTACTGAAGAAATGAAGTCACGGTGATTTTTTTTAATAGTTTTATAGTTCCTTATTTTTATCGTCAAACGTCACGTCTAGTTCCGTTGGGGGATTGTTTTTCTTTTACCAAATAATTTTGTAAATTATCACGCATAATGGTAGCTAGAACACCTCAAAACTATAACACTTTACAGTGGTAACGTGAGATCTCTTTGGATGGGTGTTCTTTGGGCACTGACGTCGGGGACAGGTGTAGCGTTAGCCCTGCTGCAAGGTAGTGCTGGACCACTCATCGGCATCGCTATATCTGCTTCTCTTTTGCCGCCAGTTGTTAATTGCGTAAGTAATTTCTGTATCATCTTCCTTTTATGTGCGTTTTAGGCAAATTTATAAACTCGCGCAAAATTATATAATGGGAAAAAATCTAATTTGCGATAACTTCAAAATGGTTCAAGGACAAACGGTTGAAAATGTAATCGTTCAACATAATTGAACGAATAATTAATCTTAAAAAATAATTAGGGTCTCATTCTCGCAAAATAAAAAAGATAAATAAACAATAACATTCATTAAATTTGTTTGTATTGATTATATTAATTAAGATAAAGACTTTATGTTGATACTGTACAACGTTAAATACTTGGAGATTAAAGATTTCTGACCTAATGTCGAGGATTTTCTTATCGATTCTTATATAAGATACGTACGATTTTTCTACGCGCAATTTTTTAACAAATATATTACACATAGCATAATTAATAATAAGCAAGAATTACAAAGCAAGGAACTTCTTTTAAAGAAAAATTGCATATCAAAAAGGATTTATATGTCCTTCTCAATTCTTCATGCTTCTATTTTCCCCGAAATGTATATTTGCCGTATTGACAATAACATCGAGTATTGAATGTGAAATATTTTTCATTATGTCCAGGGCTTGTTCTGGGCACTGGCATGTATATGGTTATTATATCCAAACACGAAAATACCCCACATAAAGGGGGAGCCGTATTACGGCAATTCATCATACGTGCCGCTTTATCACGACTACATTCCTATAGAATTTGCTGTTAATGGTAAGTGAATAAAGGCCAATTATTTAATATCTGTCCTTATGAATTTTGCATTTTATATTCGTCATGTTGTGAAATAGGGATGTTAAACGCTGTACCTAAGTGCATTTCCGAAATTGGAAAATGATCTTTAACGTTTTAAGTACATATCTGGAATATGGATAGTGAACCTAATAATAGTCATGAACGTTATCAAGATTGTAATCGAACAATGGCGAACAGTACCTTAACATCTTAACAACATACTTTGAATGTTACTAATTTTATAAATGCGAATGTTTGGATGGATGGATGTTTGTTAGAAGGTATCTCCAGAACTGCTACATGGATCTCGCTGAAATTTAGCATAAATATAGAACGTAGGCTTGAAAAACACATAAACTATTAAGTTTGTTTTTAATTTCACGCGGACTGAGTCGCGAACGATAGCATACTATAGCATAAAAATATTGTTTCCAGGAATTGTCAGCTGCTGTCTAACTATCGTGAATGTTATATGCATATTCATAACAGCTATTATGTTTCTGAAGATCAAAGAGGTTGCAGCTCCTTACACGTCTACCCCAGATCTGCGACGTTTCTGGCAGCAAGATATAAAAATAGCACGCGATGCTAACAAAGCTAATCTACAAGCCGAAGACGAAGAACGTGTCGAGTAAATTAACACCTCAATTATACAAACATGTTGTATTATCACTAACGATAACTCTAATTTTATTCAGTTATTTGCCTTTTCAATTGGAAAATACCACATGAAAAGAGAAATTCAAATGACGTCACAAATTACATAAAACACTTATTAATTCTTAGAGATTCCAAAGCTTTTTTCTCTTACACCTCTTTCAAAATTTTATTAGTTTCATTGAACCCTTCAGTTACGCAACTTAGCGATCAATGAGTTTGTATTTCTTTTATTAAATGTACATAAAGGGGTGCCCTTAGTGACCAATACTAGACGAGTTTGACAAATAATATTACATTTTTGCTTCTCTACTGAATAGAATATTTTCAGGTTGGTTCTAGAAGACCTCAATGAGACTGCCGATGCTAACGTCAAAGAGAAACTCGAAGAAGCGGTAAGAGAAGCTTTGGACGATGACACTTATAGGAAAGTTAAACGCATGAGCTATCAAAGTCATAATGCTGATGAGGTAAATTTATAATCACGATTATTACTGAAATAAAAGATCAACTATCTTCGCAAAGATCATTCGGTACCGAGCTCAAAATCAAAAAATTCTTCCAAATTGATTTACCGGAAAGACTGCGAACGTTCGCGTATTGTTATATTCGTCACACAAACTGTCAAATACCACTCCGTTTTCCCGTCACCAATATTGTTTTGAAAAAAGCGTTCCATAATTAAAGACATGCATATATCAATTGACTGTTGCAGGTGTTTCGAACTATTGGTCTTCAATCACGAACTGGCTCTGTACGATCGAGTATGATAAATTCCGGTATGAGTACGCCATTGCAAACGATACGGGAAAGTGGTAATGCAAACGACATTGAGGCATTAGACAAATTACTTTCATCTCTTCTCGGTCTCAGAGAAAACAGAGCACGATCATTTCGTTCAAACCACGGAACACCAACTATTAGCAGAGTATCTTCATTCTTGAACAAACGAGGCACTCGGGAATCCTTTCCAGAAAGAATATTCCAAGATAACATTGTACGTAATGTAATCAATAATATAAAATCTAAAAGGAGTTCTCCAGTTGAGGAACCTTTTTTAACACCAAACTGATGTGTTATAATTAAAAAAAAAGTTTAACATGAATAAATTAATATTTTATTTATTATAGCACCGTAGCATCATTACAATAGGAAATGTTAATTTTATCACAGCACAGCTCTATTACACGTAAATAAACTTTAATTGGATAATATCCAAATAAGTCTATGTTAAAATACATACTGCAATTGATATTATTAACAACAGATTTTTCTTTAATTACACTGGATTAATGTGTTTCCTTTGATTTTAAATCAATAGGTACTGATTTGAATTGCTTACTATGCTTTACTTGTGAAGTATAAACATCATAACCTAAAGATATAGTATTATCATACAACACTCTGAATCGGGTCGGCAGAAAATAGAAATTAATTAGTTGCGCCGGCGGCCATACCATCCATTCAGCTCTATACAATGTTACAAATTTATCATTAACTTCTTCTTTAAAATTTTCTAAAGGATTTTCTTCAAAAATGGCAACACTACCGAAAAAAGTAGTTATCATAATCGGTGAAAATATCAATTGATCCAACAACAGTTTCTTAATAATCATATCTGTTGTTTTACCTATTATAATTTTATCTAATATTTTATACCAATGATGACATAGGACACCAACCGCTGCTCCGGAAAATGCCATATGCATTGTCCGTTTAAAATCATAATTATTTTGTTCTTTGGTATATATTTCATATGATTGTTGTAACAAATCACCAACTGATGATAAACTTACAGATATCGTTACATTCGTGTAAAATAAATATTTATCACTAAATGCTACTTTTACTGTCCTCCGGAAATATGAAATGGGTTGTGTTCTGCGTAGATTTGATGCTAATTTCCTCCATGTTACACCCAATGGTTGCATATTACGTAATCTGAAAAGAAAATAATAAATAAATACATTAAAACAAACATAATTTTATCTAACAATTTATTCAACCATTTAAATTACAAAAATTTGCATTAAAAGTTTATTCAAATATTATTTTTCTGGACGTGATTTTATTTTATGTTTTATATGTGAAGTATATACATCATATCCAAGTGATATAGTGCTATCATATAAAACTCTATATTTTGTAGGTAAAAAATAAAAATTAATAATCTGAGCAGGCGGCCAGACAAACCACTCCGCTTTGTATAATGTCCAAAATTTTGATTGTACTTCATGTGTAAAATTTTCTAAAGGATTCTCTTCTAATATAGCTACTGTAGCGAAAAAAGATAATATAATTAATGGTGAACATATAAATTGATCAAGCAAAAGTTTTTTAATAACCATTTCTAAGGACTTTCCAATGATTACTTTATCAAGAAATATATACCAATGATGGCAAATTACACCTGCCGTAAAACCAGTAATTGCCATTTGGGATGTTCTATGAAAATCATAATTAACACCCTTTTCACCATAAATTTGGTAACTTTGTTCCAATAAATCCCCTACTGCAGAAATGCTCATAGATAATAATACATTAGTATAAAATAAGTTTTTCCCGCCAAATGCTACTTGTATATAATTGTAACTTTTAGTAAACAACTTTCTAAAAACCATCAGAAATCTAAAACAAAAAGTGAGGTTAGGTTTCTTTATATTAAAAAATATATTTCTACAGTATATAATTTTTGTCTATCTCATATATTATGTTGATAAATGCATAGTTGTTTACCACAGTAATTTTACTGACAATTTATAATTGTCATGAAATTAATAAAAAATTATTAGATAATACATTTCTGGAAGCATTGTGTAACGTTGTAAAAGGTTATAAAGGGAACTAATAAATAAAAAGGAGTTCTTAATTATTTCCCATATATTATTGTCATTAAATATAAGTTTTCGTTAAATATTTACTTACGTGAAATTTTTGCAGTATACGAAGGATAATTCAAACTTGAATTAAATAAAATAGAGCAAAATTAGCTGATTTTAATTTTTTTACTCGAAATATGACCTGTTTATATTATTATTAAAAGTTTTATATCCATTAACATAATGTCTAACTAATCTCCCCTATCCTATAGCCTCTCTTAGATATTAAAAACATATTTATTTCGTTTTACTTTAGCTTGAATGTAAATTCCATAGCCATAGCAATTTCAAATATGACGTCTCTTTGTATGACGTTTACGTTTACCGTCAAAGAGTACAAGTTAGAAGCATGGATAGGTTTTCCGGGAAAAATTAAACCTCGCCATGTTGAGGGAACAGCAATTTCATTAAAAATAAATTTTCCTTGCCGCAACATCGTAATTGTTTGTTATGGTTGAATTTCATAATATTTTATTATAATCGCCGAGTAAGTTCGTGAAAACTTGATATATTAATTGCTGAAAAAATGTATAATTGTGAAAATAAAATACACATAAGCCATCAGCGTAATAAGCGTAGTACTGGATCTAATTATTAAATTACATTAGTTAAAACACATTTTTGTTCCATTTACTGCAGCTGGATTAGGCTAATATTAGCTCTTGATCAAGTTCTGTCAAGCAAGTGTCAGTCAAGTCAATGTCAAATTGTCAAACACAAACATCAAGCACAAGCATTAATTAAGATTGTATTTAAATTGAAGTTTTTAATACTGTTTGCCATTTGCTATAGCTAAATCGTGAAATTGAAAAGCATCAAAATGTCTATTCAAGGTAAGTTAGTTTAAGTAATTCTGGTTAACATTTGATTATGGTTTCAATCATTAACAAAAACATTCACAGACAATATTTATTTACAGATAAATTAACCGTGGACAAGTTAGCTATGAAGAATCGAGCTACAGCTCATCTTCGAATTTATGTAGGTGGGATAACAGAGAGAGCTACGTTAGAAGAATTATATGAGCATTTTTCACCATTTGGACAAATTACTGGACTAATTTTTAATAGATCATTTGGATTTGTGCAATTTGAAAACGAAGCCAGTGCTCAAGAAGCTATTGCTAAGGGAGATGGAAGTATATTTCAAGGAAAATCTCTTTGTGTGAGAGCAGCATTGGCTGATAGACAAAAGTAAATAAGTACTTTTTTATATGAAACATAAAAGTTTCATAACTTGCACAACACATTTTGTTAAACAACTTAAACTTTTACAAAAGCAAACCATTAAATTAGTTTTGCATAAAAAAATAAAGTTCACTTTCTCTTTGACATGAGAAGTAATTAATAGATGTGACTTCTATAGTATATTTAAAATGAATTTAGTAATAATTAAGCTTGTCTACAACAATCCAACTATTTCACTAGTGTACATAATATAACACATTAAATTTTTACATATAGACGGGATACAGACTATACTCCAGCCTCAAATATAAATATGGAAGCAGCATCTTCAAATGACAATTATGCTTCTAATGATGGAAGTGATGAGCAATCCAATAGCAATAACTATGGCAACTATGGAGACCAGAGACAGTCAAATACAGGTATAATTTTTTATTTTTGCCTTCAGCGCTAACCATTCTAATACTCTTAATAACCCAGAGTTTGAGCGCACATAACAAAAAACTATTACATAATGAATTTTGTAAGATTGTTTTATGAGGCATTATAATATGTTTCACCCCTTTGCATTCTTAAATAGATTGTGACAAAACACCAAAGATATAGCAAAAATTGATGGCCAAAGATACATATCCACATTGAATTAAATTTATAAAAGTACTGATTTCCAATCTTGTAGTTTAGGGTTCATGATAATACTAAGATTAACAAAATCTGAAACCTAGATTACAGAGAGGAAGAGACAGATGAAGGTTACGGGAAAGGTTATGGAGAAGGTTATGAGGCGAATGAATCACGTGAGCAACGTGAGGTACGTGAACATCGTGAGCCACGCGAGTCCCGTGAGCCGAGAGGAGGTATGCGTGGTCGAGGGGGACCACGGGGGAGGGGCAGAGCACGCGGTGGAGCCCCCAATTACCGGGACCGCACACCTGTTAATCCTAGAGGTAAGTTTTATTTATGTATTAGCATCCATATATGAACATAATTGTAGACTAATTTTCTGCTTAGTTTGAGTTATGTAATGTGACATTGATGTTCTTTATTACAAACTCAACTATCAAAGTGTCATCTTATATGAAAATTCATACGTTTTTTTATGTTATAAGGTGGCTAGCCAGCAACAGGCCAACTGTATTCGCCGAAATAGTGGATCTAAACCCATAAACATCAGCATTTGCAGGAACATTGCTTACCTTTAATATTACAACTTCTTATGCATCCACTCCCCTGTAATGACGGGAGTGGATGCATAAGAAGTTGAAGGGAATGCCCTTCACCTTCCCATCTTTTCCTTATAAGAAAAGGGTAAAATAGGACTAAAATTCAACTAAACATGTAAAAAAAAAGTGTAAAGTTGCTTGTTTTAAAAAGTTTCAAAAAGTATCACATGTTTCATATCTGGACAGATGTAAATAGGTTTAATTTAATAGGTAGTGAGTGGCCAGAAAGAGGCAGCTTTGAGAGATATCCGTCATCAGATTATAACAGGACTTTACCAATCACAGAACGGAATGACTGCGAAATTATCGTAGTCTCGAAAGCCCTTACGTAAGTGTCTTCATTATGAATAATTTTAATTTGTACTCTATGACAAAAGTAGTAAGTATTCTATAACTTTTTAAATTACAAGAGAAAAAAAATATAGAACTTTTTATTGGCTTACTATTAACCTAATGGTTAGGTTAGGTTGAACTTTAATTTAAAAAATAAACAAAAATATTTAAAAGAAATATTATATTTATTTGGATAATAGGAATAGGATGAGATTTCTATGGCGTGGTATATTACTTCATTCAAGGAAGTTTATTTTTGTTACAGAGAATATGCTGAATACATAGAAAGTAGACTGAAACGTCTAGGCATTGTAGTGGATCTGCTATTTCCTATGGAGGATGTACCGATCGGTAAAGTGTTGGGCAACATCGCGTCACGCGGCTGTCTCTACGCTATTCTGGTGATGCCACAGAATGAGGAAAACAAATCTTTGACATTAACATTCTTACATGGATTACCACAAGGTATGTTAAAATAAATTTATGCTATGATTGCTTAGACATATATTATCTAGGTTAAAATTTGTACAAAACTTTATGCACATACTAGCTGTCGCCCGCGACTCCGTCCGCGCGGGATTAAAAATAGATGTTTGCCGATTCTCAGACCTACTCAATATGCTCACAAAATTTCATGAGAATCGGTCAAGCCGTTTCGGAGGAGGATGGGAACGAAAATTGTGATACAAAAATTTTATATATAAGATTTAACATCCTAATTTGATTTAATACCTAAACATCTTTTATTCTTGTTTTTCTTACCTTCCCTCCCGTCTTAGTTTTTAGGTTATGAAAGATTATTGTTGTTTTTATCTGTTAGGTATGTTTATTTTTATCTTTATTGGTAGCCGCCCCAGTGGAAATAAACTCACGACTCCATACAAAAAACGACAATGCACAAAAAATGGCCAGTTGTTTGGAAATTAGGCTTAAAAAGGTTTTATTCTAGAAGATTCGATCGTTATATATAACGTCTCAATTTGTTGCAGAACATCGCAATATGCCGCTGGAGGATGCACTGCAGCTGTTATCGCGGAACTTCCAGGAGGTGCAGCAGGGAGGGTCTTCTGGACGCGAGGCGGTGTACGCACTGCTGGGTCAGCTCGCTGACGGCCGCTCGCTCACAGTACTGCAGTACGACAAGGTTATTGAGTACCTTCAGGTCAGTTATACTGCAAAATAAGTAGGTGGCGTTAGCGCCATGTGGGCTGTCATCTGTCAAAGTTTTTATATGTCATTCTAGCGATTTAAAAATAAAAATATAATGTTTTTTCTTATCGTCAATCGGCGTTTTGTCCTGAAGAATCTAACCATGTCGTTTGTCTTCGACTTCTTCCATGTTAACCACAGACTAGTTTAGATTTTTTATTGTACCACCTATTTGTATATCTTGCAGGACCGTAAGGAGCATCAGATCAAAATCGAATTGGGCGAACCGATGAGTACAACGACCAGTAGCAAAGCACAAAATGAGTTACAACAGAGGATTTTAAGCATACTAAATGAGAAGAAAGCTTTGCCACCAAAAGATTCTTCTCCTGTGCCTGCCCCCGCGCCCGCAGTCCCCCCTTCCTCACAAGATGTACAGAATAAATTCCTAAATGACCCAACACTGCGGAAAGCTTTGAATTCTATATTGCAAAAATATTCCTAGTTATAAGTGACTAGTATTTAAGTGTGTATCTTTTACTATAAAAAAACTTTTAAGACATTCTATTTCATATAATGTACGTAAGTACAATGATACAAAATTTAAAACTACGTTTTTTGAGTTTTATTTCATACATTCTCTTAATTGGAGCTGGCTTTTAAAAGAAAGGAAATCAATAAATTCGTAATTAAACTTATTCCTTTTTAATAAAATAATGCAAGCAATATGATTCAGCTTCAGTTCAATAGTTGTACACTTAAATAAAGGTATCATCAAGATTTGAAATCGCGTATTATTTTACTTCTTGTTTTTTTTATCTGTAACTAGCTGTCTCTAGCGACTACGTCCGTGAAATTAAAAAAAAGTAGTAGCCTATGTGTTTTTCCAGAGTATGTTCTATATGTATGCCAAATTTCATCGAGATCAGGAGCCGTTATGGAGATACCTTCAAGCATCCATTCACCTATTAATTCAAACCATTCGCATTTATATTAGTAACATTTTTACTTTGTAAGTTGTTTTCTAATTCCAATCACTCGCCTTCAATAATACTAATAATCGTTCCGTAACTTTGACCAGTAGTTTTATAAAATGAAGATTGACTATTATTTTGTTAAAATTAAAATGAAACAACAATTTGCAATGTAGAATGATTTTTATAAGTTCACATATAATTGTGTCTAAACATGTCTTCACAGAGCTAGCATTTCATTGGTGATTTAAACAGACGTGTGGTGCTATAGTTAATTTGTTTGTACATTCAAACGACACGAAAATAATTACATTTATATTCTAAGTCTAATTTCATGCCATATCCAGCACAATTATCAGTGCCGTGGTAAATTTGCATATATCTAACACATATACTGAGTTATGTTTATATAAACTGAGGAAATTATATACGTCATATCGCTAAAATTTCCATTCATAGATCCTTCAAAGGTTAATGTTAGGAATTAAATACATGATTGAAAGTCTCCAGTTACCACCGCCAGCGGCTAAATAAACTACTGTTTGAATTTCTTAATTGTACATATATTTTGTATATTGTTAAAAATGATCCAAGAAAATAATTAGCATTAGAAATTTTGTATGGCATAAAAATTTTTTACATCACCGATTTAATATTAGGATTATAAATATCATTTACATATTAAATTCAAACTCCCCAGTGAGATCATTCTCGCGTTTTTGGGCATATCAATGGCTTCTAAGTTTTACATTCAATCGTTTACCATTTAAATAGTTAGCTATACAAGATATATACTAGAACAACATTAGGAATATCCACATCTTACTCTATATAAACAAATCCACATACATCCTTAGTACTACACTGACCGAATGCCAGTTTGCACCTATCAAAATCTATATAGTAACATTTGGAAGAATTTGGTGTCAGTCAAGAATTCGATAGGTGAACGCAATTATATATACATCATCAGTCAAATTTGACTCCGTCGCCTTCTTCCGCAAGCGAATTTTGAATAACCCAGTCCCGCGATCGTCTACAACTTTCATACTTAGGTCGCTCTCTCGGGCGTGTCCTCTTGTTTTGATGGGTCGAAGCCTTCCTTAATATGCCCGCCAGTTCCTTTGGGATCCAAATCTGTCGCCCAGCTGAAGTGCATCAAAGCCATATGAGGATTGCCTATTTTATTGTAAGCTTTGCCGAGTAAATAATAAACTAACGACTCTCTCGGTGCAATGTTCTTCAGATGAGACAAGTCGTCTATTGCATCGTCCGGCCTTCCCGCACGCAACAACACGGATGCCCGATGGAAACGACACAGCGGGTTTTCTGTGTCCAAAGCGACGGCGCGTTCCAAAGTAGCGAGCGCCCGGTCCATTTTTCCTAAGGCTGCTTGAGCCACTCCCAGTTGACATCTTAGTACGCCCGAGTGTGGATGTATAGCCAGAGCTCGTCGTATGTGCACCTCAGATGCTTTCCATCGCTCCTGACGGGCGTATACGGTCGCAATACCGAACCAAGCTACGTAGTTCCGAGGATCGATGCTCACAGCGGTCCTGAAGCTTGCGAGGGCCTTGTCCGTCTCCTCTGCCGCCGCGTACTCGTGTCCCAGCAAAGCGTGAGCGTAAGCCGCGTCCGGATTGATCTGTACAGCTCTCTTAAAGAATTTCAAAGCAGTCTCTCGCTCCTTGTGAAGAGAAAAGCAGTTGCCGGCTGCCAGCCAGGCAATCGAGTCATTTCTATCTAATTCTACCAGTTCTTGTGCTAAAGCGGATAATTGAGCCTCACGCTGTAGATGCCATAAACATGTGCTATATATGTCCATTCCTTCTGTACGGTTTGGATGCTGTTTTCTAATCTCAGCAAACACCTTAGCGGCCGTTTCATATTGCGCTAATTCGTAATGCGCGCGAGCAATCATTGTCTGCACCCAGGGCGATGCTAGTTGTTTAGTCGGTATTTCTTGGAATAGTTTTATAGCATTTTTACAATCTAAGAATGACAGAGCTTTGTAAGCCTCACCTAATTCTTTTAATAAATTTAACAAAGCTACAGCATTGGAGTTCTTTGGTGTGATAGCTGGTGTTACCGTCTCTATACTTTTAGCCCTTTCGTTTGTTTCTACCGGATTTGTTTTAATGTTTTTAGCTGTTCTCTGTTTACTTTTCCTCGAGGGGCTTTTCGGAGCTACAAATTTTCTACTTGGCGACTTATTGTTTTCTTTAACAGAGTAGCTACTATTATTATTGCTGAACAGTCTGGAGGAGCGGCGCGGGGCTGGTCCGAGTGTGCAGCGCGGCGCCGGACTGAACACTGCGTCCTTCAGCTGTCCCATTTGAGCTCGCAGTGAATTAACTATCTTAGGTAAAGCTTTCTGCTCATTTGCGTCTGTTAACGTTGGTGTGTACAAGACGGGAGATTCGTCCATTGGTAACATACCAAAAGATGGTGAGAATGGAATCGGTGCCATTCCACTGAACACGCTGTGCATGCGTTTTACTGGAGCATGGGGTTCCGGTGTGATGCTGGTGGACATTGTCATAGGTGTTTTAGAAGACACATTATTAGGAGTTACGTTAGTGTTCAAGCTAGTATTATTAGGAATGTTGCTATTAACAAAGGAAATATTTTCCGAGTTGCTGACTAGATTCACTAAAGTTGATACACCAAATGAAAAATCGGTGTTGCTATGGTGAAACACTTGATGGGGCTCCACTTTCTCACCCATGTTACATAGTTGTGAAAATGATTTCCACATGAATGGATTTAATGATAAAGCTTTGCGATGTGCATCCGCTGCTTTATTTCTTCTCTCTGTGATGTTATAAATCTTGGCCAACAGCTGTAGAGCATATGGAGCTTGTTCGCCAAACTCTGAAGCAACAATTTCCATGTTTGTGCCCAATATGACTTCGGCATCTTTGTACCTGGAAGAAAAACATTAAAATGTTATTGATATCGATTTTTAGACATGATATTGTAAAGAAATCTTAAGCTAAGGTTTTACCAACTTTTTCATTCCGTATAAGTGAATGATATATGCATTTTTATGTCACAGAATGGATTTATGAATAACACATTATGATAGGTGCAGTTGATTTCATTTATAACAAAATCTGAACTAATTTATGACAAGATAATTCATATAAAGAAAGTACAACTGAGTAAATATAGAAAATAAAATGATTCATTTACAGTCATAAAGCTTTCTTATCTTCTGTACTTTACACCCACATACGTCCAACAATAACAACAATATGCTTTTGTTTATACTTTACTAGAAGTTGGCCGCGACTTTGTCCATTACGAATTAAAAAAAATCTATCACCTAGAGATGGTGCATTATCTCACCAGTGAAAGTATATTTCAAATTGGTTTAGAAGTTTTGAAGCCTATTCAATACAAAAAACAAGCAATCCTATCTTTCCTATTCATAATATTATAAAGTATAGGTAAATGTTACCAACAAAAAATCTAATTATTCTACTAAACAATTTAGCAACTGTACAAAGCTGCCGTCATGTTTTGCATGAATGCAATAGATATTGAAATACAAAAATTTGCAGCAGCATAAATTTAGCTTATGAGTTAAACTGCTTTTGTCAGTCAAATCCATCATAGTCTAGTATAAAAACTGATGTGAAATCCATTGTAATGGCAATAAACATTGAAACAAATTAAAACTACTAGTGGCCTCTCTCGTTTTTTATTCACAAAGTGAAAGTACCATACTCAAAACATTATTAGATAAAGCACTTGTTTTATCCAAACTCTAATTAAATGGGAACATTATCGCAAAAGATAGATTAAATAAGATTATTTTACGGAAAGGATGAGTTATATAGGAAGGAATTTCCAAATTTGCCTATACTGTAGACCATAACATTCTATGTTCAATTCCAACTTGGTGTTTAATCATTTTAATATAAGGAGTATAAAAGAACTTAAATTTTGAAGTGAAGACAATAAAACAAAATTACTTACGATTTTAATTCTATAGCGCATTTAGCTAGAAGAAATCTTGATTGTGGTAATGTCAGTGATATATTTTGTAATAAATGATGAGCCTCATTTACACGTCCAGCTCTGTAGTAACAGGTACCCAATAAAAACGCTGTTTCCTCTGATCCAACTGCAATAAAAAATCAAAATGATATTAACTATATACACTTAAATATTTACATCAATGTATTTTTTAAATTACGAAAGACAAATATATTGATTAGAAACTAGCGACATTAAATTGAGGGTAAAAAAATTGTCCCTATTACCTTCAGCGTGTAGTCTCTCAGCCAAAAATATAGCATTGTCGTATTCATAATTGTTGAGACAATCCCAAACGATTACCTGTAGGTGTAAAAAAAATAATTTTAAAAAGAATTCGATACAAAAATTTACAGTGAGTGTCATAGGTTTGGTCACCATACGTTTACCTGAATTGGATCTTGAAGAATCATTTTAATAATTAACATACACTTCTTTTAATGATAATAATGATAAAAACTTCACATCGCTGGCCACTATCTTTACACGGTCACACAGTAAAATATAAACGTAACTTTTACGACGGACATTTTCATTTCAGTTTGTTGATTGTCTATGGGCGGAGGGTTGTTGTTACGAAAGCGATCGTTAATTCGTAAACCCATAGCAAATAGATTATCAAGATTCGTGATCATTGTTATTTCAAAAATACTACTTACACGACAAAGTCGCGAAATACTTGGAAAAGTATAAAATCATATTCAATATGTATTATAATATGCATTTTAAGTCTTGTCTTAAGATTTAAACCTAACTGCTAAAAATTTGCTCTCGCATCCCTTCTTCGATTGATTTTAATCTTAAAATCTAACTTTATTTGTGATAACGTTCTTGAATTGCCATTGTCTAAAACACAATCTTTAATAGTTTAATCGCTTTAACCATTTAAAGTTTTATTTTAACTAAAAACCAGTAAGTTAATACCTAGCAACACTTCCAAAAATGTTCTTGGCAAAGAGTAAATAGCGAAGGTGCCCGTAGTTTATGGTATTTTTAGTCGAGTTGAAATCGAAGTTTAGAGCAAAAGTCGAATGAAAATCGCGAAATCCTGTTGTGTTGTACTTTTATGCTACCTCAGTTCAGTATATTATATTACAATCTGTGATTACGAATCGTCACGACCGCAGTGAAAAATATTTTGAGAATAGCTAAAACAAACTATTCGTTTAATATTTAGTGCAGTGTTGGTTGTTGAAGTGTTTATATTCGTTTCGTGGTGAAATATATTCAAATCTCATACGGTCTTTACAATAAAAAGAAAATCGATGAGATTGTGTGTCGTTCATTAGATGAGACAATATGTGGAGTGTTGATTACGAATGACGTCTGATTGGAAACAAAAGGCCAACGTAGTTAGAATACATTTATAAAAATCCATAACCAGGTAATTATTATTTATTTTGAAACATATTATTTCATGGAAACGTTGATTTCGTAAAAGGTACCCTTCACTCGTATCTATAGTTTAAACAAGAAAATGTCAAGATGTGTGACCTCCAATTTACTAGTTCCGTTTTAATTTGTTGTACTAATATACTCTTAATTTATTTCTTTGTATAAACATCTCTGCTGAGATGTATTAAGTATCTTGCAACTTTACTGTCCTACTTATCATCTAGGTGAAATGATATGGTTATTGCACATACACATTGAATAAAGTATTAAAATCAAATCTACATTGATTGGATTCAGTGATTTCCATCTAAATAGGATTTCAGAGAAAAGTTAAAGTAATAATTAGGGTAACACTTTTTAATAAATTGTAACAATAACAATATTGCATTATCAATAATGAAAGTTCACAGTAAAAACTTGTTTACTCAACACTCATATCTCTCTGGTATATTAAACAGATATTTTAAAAACAACTTTAGAGTTTATGCCTCTACCCATGACTGATGTCAAAGAAATTATGAGAAAGGTGTTGAGGAATGATAATTTTGGTGACTATACTTAACAATTGACATATATTACTTAAAATAATATAATTATGGTCCATGGTAGATTCAATACTCTTACTGCTAAGGAAAGGATTTGGCAAGTGAGAGGATAAACAATGATATGAAATATCCTTTTCTGTATGTTTTAATGCTTATGGGCAGTGGTTATTTAACATATGTGACACATGTTCTGAGTTAAAAATTGTTTAGTAACTGGATTAATATAATAAAGTCATATACAGTTGAACATGGATAAAAGAGGAACCTCTATAAGCAAGAGTCATTATTAAGTCCTGACACAACTTTAGAGGGAGTCTGGTTAGGGAAACATCTATAAGCGAGAAAAATATTGACACCTTGGTTTCTCGCTTATCCAAGTTTCACTACATCTAGACAGATTATTTATGCCTGGTATCATTGTAAATTGATTTGAGCTACCATAAAAATATGTTAATAAAAATAGTTAAAAGAATTCAGAGATTGATATTTAATAGATGATAAACATTTCTTTGTCTTTATTATTAAAAATCTTATTGTTATGATGTGTTTACATTGGTAGATAACAACAACAGTGTGAGGAATTCAATGTTTTGTTTATGACAATTGGAATGACATAACATTAGAATTATTGTTTACTTTTGTTAGTCAATAACTTTCATTTGTCAATGAATTTATTAAAGCAAAGAAAGGCATTGCCTTGCCTGGCAAGCTCTCTTTCATACAAATAAAACACATGGAATGAGTTAATACATCCATTATTCAGACCATTCATGAATGTATAATATTCTTAACATATTTAGTTCCTAGATGTGCCAAGCAATTTTATTTTGTGATAATACATAAGGACTAAAATAATGTTTGGTTATTAACAACTAGCTGTCTCCGGAACTTGTCTAGCCTATGTATTCTTCCAGACTATGCTCTAAACATAAGTAAAGTTTAATTAAGATACACTGAGCCGTTTTGTAGATACCTTCTATAAGACGTCCATCTATCCATCTAAACTTTCACATTTATAATATTAGTAAGATTTTTTTCTATCGTAATTTCATAATAGAAATCTTTTTACAAATCATATCAAGAGTTCCTCAGAGTATTGAAAATAACACAGTCTATATATTAGTATGAACAAAGAAATATTAATTATGTAAAAAAACATTTAATTACCCTTAACTTTCTGTGTTGTAACACTGTAATTAGTTTGTGGACAAACAATAATTAGTTATGTACTTTGTTGATAAGTTAATGCATTCTTAAAATCTAGAATAACAACTTTTCCTATTACAATTATGAATGAAGAAATTCTAAGTAATTTGTCAACCTACTTTTTATAGAACACTAGCTGTCGTAAATCGGTCCCTGTGCAATTAAAAAAACTTAATTAGTAGCCTATGTATTGTTCAAGGCTAAGTTCTAGATCTATGTCAAATTTCAGCAAGATTCATGCAGCTGTTCTGGAGGTATCTACTAACAAACATCCATCCATCTAAATATGTACACTTATAATATTAGAAAGATAATCTCTACACCTGTTTATATATTCATGATATTAAAAAACATAGGTGTTGTGATTTCGTGTATTATTTATAGTGCTTTGTTAAAAAATTTAGTAAATAATGTAACTTACAACTTAGGCATAATTTAAATTCAATAATGTTGCTATTTGCTATATTTGCTAATTAAAATGAAAAGCACTTACATTTTTACACTCTTGTAGTAGGAAACAAACAAAAAAGAAAACAAAGCCTCTTGCGGCAATCATACTTTTTTATTGAACCGAAAGTCATTTCAAATGTTTAAAATTATATTTTAAAGTGTATCATTGTTTTGCATAGTATGGGTTCAACGGAGACGATCAACGTGACTGCGCAGCCTATCGCTGCTGCGGTGCACGAGATGTTCAAGCCGCTGCAGCAGCCGGTCTTCCTGCAGACCACCTCTGCGAAGGTCATTACTGGCATCTGCGTGTGGACTGCGCTATTCATCACTTGCCAACAGGTATTTAATCATATTTCAAATGCAGTTCCTACATGTCCCCACCTCAAAGTCCTCCAACAAATTTTAAAGACAATGTAAGAATTTTACTAAATGTTTCAGTAGTTATCAGTATTCGATGCAAACAAACAATCAAATCATTCCTCTTTTAATATTAATATAGATAACTAACCTAAAATAAAATTGTGTTGTAATTTCTTTCCCATTTCTATTTTGAATTTATCTTTGGCATCATTAATCAATTCGTACTTTTCAAGGAATATAAAGTAAATTGAGCTGGTTTGGTAAATACTTCTAGATTATTCTTTATAAATATTTAGCTAATAAATTTTCGGCTTTGTAAACGTTTGCACGAGCTCATTTTACGAGTTAAAATTATTTTAAATGAAGTTTTTTATCCTTTGAAAGTAAACTACACTTGGCAAAGTACATAGTGCTTAAAAATCGAGCACAGGAAAGAAAGAGGTAGAGGCTAGTGTTGTTTAGGCCGCAGGCAACTTCCCATTCACACTACGTAAGGTAGTAAGCTTGGCTTAAAAATTCAGTTTTTTATGTTTACGTTTATTACAAAAGTGAACACAAATTATGTAGACTTTGATATGAAGACTAACAAAGATACAAATTAAGAGCAACTATCGTGGGTTTTTTTTAAAGTGTTGCGGCAAATTATGTTTCTATAGTAAATACTCGTTTGTACAAATTTAAATCTTTGTAAAGCCATAATATTATCAGTGCGCAAATATAGAACGGAATATAGCTCACGCCGGCTGTGTTGTGATAAGAGTTTTGTTTCCTCCACGAAGTTATAAAGCCGATAATAAATTGCTTATAGCTGTTGCACGA